CGTGAAGAACGACGAGCCGGACGATAACACGAGCGAGGTGAATTTCGTCCTCGACGAAAGCCTCGCGCGGTCGAGCACGTGGGATACGCCGCAACGCGCGGACGCCACGACGGCGCTGCCGCTTCGCCGGCGGAGCTCCGTCGAGAGCGCGCCGCTGTTTCATCTCGAGGAGGCGTCGTTGGTGTCGATGAACCCCCAGACGACGCCCGAAGGGCACTCGAGGGGCTCCACGCCGGTTATTGCCGCGCCGCGAAATCACTCCCCACCCCCGAGCTCCGAGCAGAGCTCGCTGAGCTTCCACGCAGAGTCGGTTGAATCCCCGAAAGGCCCTTCCAAAGAATTCATCGCGGAGACCCCTCCACCCGCGAAGAAACCCACGAAGCACCGGGTTCGAAAGGTCCGGAAGTCCTCCAGCCACTCGCATCCCCATGTACCCTCCTCGCGGTTGCATAAAAGTTCCACCGACGAGGATATGGATCAAACCCCGAAGATTTTAGAGGCGACCGCCAAATGTGCGCCCAACGACCGAGCAGGAAAAGAAAACTTTAGCGAGAATAGCGGTAATGAGGAGTTTCACCTCCAGATGCCCACCTTAACCCCTCTTGGACTCACCCCGACGCTGCGAAGCCGCATCGCCGAGCAATTTCTCTCCATTCTTTGCCCGCAGCAGTACTACGGCACGATCAAGAAGCTCAGCGCGATCCGGCCCCTCAAGGTCGATCCGGCAAAAGCCGCGAAGCTGCGCGAAAATAGCACGATTTACGTCGCCACGAAGGGGATCTTCCCAAACGCGTATTTCTACCCCCAGCTTCGCCTCCAGGAGGAGGATGGGAGGCCCGTTGTGGAGCAGCCGGATTGTGGCGCGTTGGATACCCCGATTATCCTTTACGAAGCCGCGCCTGCGACGATGCTGTTCGCGGAAACGGAGCTCGAGGCGCACCGCCTGCTCGAGCAAAGTCCAGACGCTAACAGCTGCTTTGTACTTTCCTATTCGGCTATTATTTTCAAAAATCCAGATCGCTATGCTCTCCCTGTGGCGACGCTAAACGTGCGATGGGTGCCGTATGCATCGCCGATGTCGGAGCCTCAGTGCCCGATTCATCAAAAGGAGCTCCAGCTCTTCGATCCGAATCGCAAAGAGCTTGTTTGCGCGTTATGCGCGTCTAAATCGAAGTCCGAACTCGCAAAACTTGTCGTCATCCCAGATGTTATTTCATCGGGCGCGCGGGAGCGTGTTTTTGATTCCCTCTCGGTGCGCCTAGAGAAGGCAAGGCGGAGTGCACAGGAATGGGTTGAGGAGCATCAACGCGTGCGGAAACTGAAGGAAAGCCTCGAGGAAACAATCAAGGAACGATTCAGCGTGCTCCTATCAACGGTCGCATCGAAGCAAAAAGAGTTTATTGATTTTTGTGATACGGAGTATGGCATCACGCAGGCGAAGATTGCTCACAAGATTCTCCTTTTGGATGAAACCGTGCAGTTACTAACTGCGGCTTCTCATCATCTTCGCGGGGATCACAATAGGTCCTTGTATTCAATGCAAATCGCTACTATCGCGGAGGGGTTGGAGGCCCCTACGAAGACAACCCCTTCCACGTTGGAAGGCTCCTTTAAGGTACCTGATATTTCCCTACCGAACTTAGGCCTCGCCATCAGCGAGGTGTTGAACCTTTCACCCGTCTCGGAAAACCGCAAGCACTCCACGAGAAGGCGGAGCGCGTCTCACTTCGAGCGTCGAGATTCTCAAGGATGGATGGAGCAGCCATGCGGGTTGACGGCGGCGGATGACGTGGCGGGGCTCAGACAGGGGGGGCATTCGAGCGTCCCCCTTCATCACTCCCCCCGTGATCACTCCCCTCGTCAACCCTTACGCCCCTCACCGCAATGGAAGCGATCCCCCCTTCAACCCCCCCTTTCCTCCCCACGTCTGGTTTACGAATCCAACGGCCCGTCGTCCTCGCCACAGCCGCTCGAGCAGCGACG